CACCCACACTCAGCTCCAGGCCAGCCAACGCCCACCCCCCCCCCCCCCCCCCCCAGCCATTGTTAACTTACTGAGCTCAATCATGTGCATGGTTCCATGGCCATCCATCAGATCATTGGCAGCATACCACCAGCTGCACCCCAGAAGAAAAATGATTCTCCCTCCCCTAGTAGCTATCAACTGCCAGTATCAACTTCTTAGCTGGTGGGGGTAGGGCCTCAGGAGCCCCTATCCCATCCATACTGGAATGTTGACTGACAGGTCTTTTGCAGGTAATCATAGTTGCAGTGAGTTCATGAGTGTAACAGCCAAGTCTTGTCTAGAGGAATCCTGGCTAATTCCCTATATTTAAGTACAGTTTTATTACAATATGGTTAGATATGTCTAGCCTAGAAGTGCTATTAAATTTTCTTTCCCCTTTCTGTATATTGAAGCATATTTACACATATGTAGTTGATTAATATTAGGGTATATTCTGAGAAATGTGTTGTTAGGTGATTTTGTTGGTGTGCAAGTATAAAGTATACATTTAGATGTTACAGGTTAATTGTTTCAAGTGGTCTTTCGGTATAATTAGAAGATGACAAAATATGTATGAGGCTGTTGTAAAAATAACTTTCATAGTAAGTAGTATTGTGCTGAGTATACTCTACAGTAATGGTAAAAAATACATTATGATAATTACATAAACCAATAACAGTCATTTAACATTAAGTATGTATGATTGCATGTAGTATATAATTGCATGTAGTATGCTCTTATATGTGTGGCAGTGTATGTTTGTTTATATCAGAATCATCAGAGAAATGCATTGAAGTACAGCATTGCTAGAGCTACTATACCATTAAGTATTAGATGTTTTCTAGCTCCATTATGATATTTTGGTACCTCCACCAGATATGTGGTCTAATGTTTACTGAAACATCATTATGTGGCACATGATTGCATATGTATGCATGTTTCTATGGGTATGTATGTATATAATCCTAGTATAATTACCTCAGAATAACTAATTTCTGATTTTTTTATTTAAAATATTTATTGCAGAGAGAGCAAATAGTGCTATCTAGATGGTTTGATTCACCTTTTTTTCCTGAGTTTTGTTATTTTAAGATCAGGGTATGAAAATATAACTTATGTATATTTTTAAATAAGTTTGCAGAATATGTGTTTTTTTTCCCTCTAAAGTCTGTATGTATGGAATTTGTACCTATAGTTACAAACAGAAGTAAAAACTAAAACAAATATAAAGGGAAATGTTAAAAAAAAATGTATTTTCAGTTGGCAAGATGGGTCAGGGCAGGGGGTAAAGGTACTTGCTGTCAAATCCAATGACTTTCATTTAATCTTTGGAACCCTCAGAGTAGAAGAGGAAAACTAACTCCTGCAATTTATTCTCTGATTTCCACATTCACTTCCAGGCATGAGTATGCACATAGAAAATAAAGAAAAAAGATGTTTAAAAATGTATATAATGTATTTTGTCATAGTGGTAGTTCAGTTAAAAAAGATCTTTTGATTACAGGAAACGACTGCTGGCTATTTTGCAGGAGGCTCTAATTCTGCCTACAACCCCGATATCCTTAATTTCTTTTATTGTTGAGAGACTCCTTCACATCATCTTAGACGATAACAAAAGGATACAGATTGTAAGTGCTTTTCTTTGTGATACAGTTAAGAAGCTTTGATTAAGTGGATCTCTGTGAGTTCGA